TACTTCGTTAAATGTTTCGAATGAACCACATCTTACTAGGATCGATAAGATGCGTGCATTTTTCGGTTTCTGCTTTATTAAATAAATTATTTCTATTTCAAAGATGTCCGTGAGCACTTTTTCCAGAGTTTCGTGTTGGAATAGTATTGTTTCTTTTATTTCCGTACTGCTATTTCGTTTTCTCACTAAAACATGAATTTTTCCGAAGGATTTCATGACATTCCTTGCATTCGCATTTAATGGAAAGCGAGGATGATTGAAACGCAGAGATTTTCAGGAATCGCGACAATACCCATACATGTCAGTCTACGATAAGATCGTTGATGTTCCAAAGTGTTCCGCATATGTTGCCTAGAATTTTCGTGTAGACGTTTTCATGGAAACCACGATTTCATTGCAGGAAACATAAAATAAAATAGAACCTTCAAAATATAATAGAATATTGCTTACAAAAATTTATATGCATTTATTGAAGGAATAATTAATTTTTTTCTAATATAATATACACATACAATATATATTTTAAATTTTCCAGTGATTATTTCGCGGATTTTTGATAGAAACTCTTCGCGTATATGCAAATACTGTATTGAATATTTATTTTCCTTTGGCAAATATGGTACGAAGAGCTTTGACATTCTCGTATGCATTTCATATTTTACTATTTACAATTTACTACATTACAGTCTACTTATATTTCTTTTTAAAATTTCATAAAATGTTACGAAAGCGTTGAGCGAAACTTTCGACATACATGTATTTCGCGATTCGAATTTCTAATTTGATTTGTTTACGGTCACTGTAGATTTTTCTCTTTGAGCTGTTCTATACGAATGATGAATTCGCTCTTTCGCGGAGTTCTAATCTCAATTTTTAAACGCTTGGAACTAAAAAAAAAACGGTGAATACCTCAGGCAATATTGTTATTGATTTTTCGTTGGTTTTTTTACGTAGAATCTTCTTTCAAATGTTAACCACCCACCTGTTGTCGGACACACTGCGCCCAGACAACTGTGGAAGAAGGGTAAACAATACTGCATACACTGTTGCTTGTGTCTGATAGTTTGTATACTCAGCAATGTTTCGAATTTAATCTTCTTCCAAACGAAACGTTATTATAGTTGAATAAAAAAAAGCGTTATTAAGTCAAACGTTATTTAAACGTTATTGCACTAATAGTTACCGCACAACTATATAATTATAGTATATTCTGGTGTATTATTATATAATCCATGATCACAACCATAATTTATTCTAGGAAACAATTGACGAACATAAGTATAACTTATTCCAATGAATTATTATATAATTAATATCTGTGTCAAAAATTATTTAACACTAAAATCTTTTACAAAAACTAGAACAGTACTCGTATCTGTGCAAATACACAAATTTAATTAACAACTTCTGCACCTTTATCATTTAGATGCTCGAAGAATAAGGATTCTGAAGTAGGTCAATTTGTTAATGTTAAACAGCTGCAACAAAATTCCTTCTTCTAATTATCTTTCGTTTCATGTTCTCCCCGTATTTTTCGACCTTCTTTCATCGTGAGCTTTTCCTATAATTCCTGTGTTTTCCACGTTTTCAAGGTTCTGCCGTTTAAATCGGGTTCCTCGGGAATGGTTTTACGATTCGCGAGTCGCGCGGACGCTTGAACGTGGATTCCTTTTTTTATCTCCGCGCATAACCGAAGAGGATGGAGATTTAACGTCTCGTGTTTACAGTTGAATTTTATTTCGCTTTGCGCCACGCGTACACCACTCGAGGATATTGATGTACAGTTAAGGACCATCTTGTATGAACGCTTCAACGAATGCGCAACTACGTGCAGTTACATTATGAAGCACTGGCGTCGCTTTAACAGATTTTAGCGGGGCATTACTGTTCGCGGAGCACCCGGATTTGCAGGACATTGTACCAGTTACTTGCATTTGACGAGTAATCTTAAGGCTTGAAACGATACTAATTCTTTCAACGATGAATTCTTTATTTTTTTCAGATAAACATATAATTCTTCTTTATTTTGCTTTGGTTTTTTATTCAAATATACCTTAGGTGCATCCGTCCTGCGTTTGATGAGTACACACTTTATTATTTTATCGTTTTATTGCATGTAGAACAAGATTTTTCAAATTAAATTCCACAGTTAACAGGTTATTGTTTCATCGGGTATCTCGAGCGGGCACGATGAACTGTATCAAGAATCTATTATAATATATCCTACATGAAACGGCGATCCCTCCTTTATTTTCACTCTACACGCGCTGCTTTATTTTAGTCCTAATCCGAGTGGCACGCTGCATTACACTTGACCCTCGATTCACGCGGAAATCCGTTCCACGTGGATTCGTTCCACGCCAATGAAAATCGTGTAAATAGAGTCTGCTGGTACAAGAGGAAGCAAAATATTGGACAGAAAAGCTGGGATAAGTTTCAGAAATACATATTTCATTTAGCCAAAGAAAAGAAATAATAATAATGAGGTTTCAGAAAACAAAAGTACATTTTATTCGATCTAACTAAATTTAGATCGCATAAATAAAGCCTGCCAGTACAAGAGAAAACAAAATATTGGACAGAAAAGTGGGATAAGCTTCAGAAATACATATTTCACTTAGCCAAAGAAAAGAAATAATAATAATGAGATATCAAAAAACAAAAGTATATTTTACTAGATGTTACTAAATTCAAATATTGCATAAAAATTACCTAGTAAATAGTCTTCTAATTTACCGTGTAAAAAAGTACCGTGTGAATCGAGAGTCAGGTGTACGTGATTTAGATCCTATATATACCAGCGACGCGATCTCGTCGCCGCAGCGGTGACGCTGTGCGATTTTGGAAGGACGAAGACGTACAGTCCTTTTCTTCTTCTTTTGTGAGACAAAAGAACTTTGTTTCTCTGTTACTCGAAAACAATTGCTGCAGCACAGCAACGGGTTCGCGTCACTCGCGTGCATAGGCTCTTCCAGCTATCAAACCTAATTTACACTAGCGGTCTGGATTAGGACCAAGTCAAATCATGGCCGATCATGATCATTGCCAATGAAATAACATGTAATTCAATGGAAGCTCTCACAGTTGGCACGATCAAATCAAATTGAAATTGATCGTCGAGCTGGTTCACTGTCGATTGAACATTGCGATGCGATTTCACGTGATCGGCGTTTCTGCATGGCTGACAAAAAGGATCATGGGTGACGAGCAATTAATAGGATTTGTTAGAGGAAATAATAAATTGTGCGAATTTAGTCGCAATGAATTGTATTCGAAACGGTTTTATCGGATTTATTTAAAACTGTCTTCTTGACCTTAATGCAATTGCCTCCTTATTGAAATTAACGTGATTTTTATGAAGGTACGCTTAGAAGGGATTCATTTTTTTCGAATGAACAGGAATGAAAGATATATTGATGGGATTCGATTGTTTTTGATCGTTGAATGTGAATGCCTTGATAAAATCCTTGATCGTGATCTGTTCGCACCGTTGATTGTCAGTGTGAATCAAGCTTAAATCGATGCCGGTGCCCCTTTATTGTTAGGGTCGGACATTGATTGGCCATTGTCCACTGGCTGCCGCGATAAAGCGGGGTATATTTCTGGTGATCAAACCTTAATTGGTCCAACATTCTTGGGCATTTACGCTTCGATTAAAGTATGTGAGAAGATGAATTCCTTTCGTGTCGGTATTTCGTTCGTTGAACGTCACAGTTGACCATTAGATGATTAATACCTTTTACTTCGTTTTTCGAACGGAAATTTTATTACGTTATATGTATATTACATTACGAGAATGTTACAAGCATTACGCATTTCAAAGTTTTAGTAATTCTTAATCAGACTCGTTAACAGTGTCATTATATTATACTCCTATTTTTATTAGATAAATTTACTGTAATATATAGTGTCTTTAAGTTAATTAAAACGTGCATTACTGGCATATCAACGTTGCATGATGTTACAAGCTCGTAGAAAAGGAGAAACAATTTTGAAATACTAATATTTTAGTTTCAGTTTATATAAAAAAATTTGAAATCTGTTTCTGGAAACTTTAGTGTATATTCAAGAAAAAGTTATAAAAGTATTTTGCTAACTTGTTAAATGTCAGAGTAATAAATGTGAATCTAGAAAATGACGAATACCGTTTTATCGGGCTTGACGGAATTTCTGCCCCTGGAATTGAAAATAAAAGTTCGTCGTGGAGAGTGAAAAATAAGAGCCTTCCGCTATCTACTGATAAATATGAATATTCTGATAAAAGTCCATCAATTTCACGGAATACCTGGAAATACCCTGCCAAGCTGCGGGTGCATTTTATTCGTTTTGAACACTCTGCAACGATCAACAGTGATACAGATCAAGCTGGCGATTCAGAAAAATTAATTGAGTTTCAGCAAACAATACGAAATTTGCTTCTATTGGAATAATTCCTTTCGCTCTGTCCATTAATTGGCATTCGATTTAAAAATTGGTGACACTCTGCACGTCGAAAATATGCAATCGTTTCTAGTAACAACAAACGTGATCTAATAAAAAATAACTCATTCATGGTGATTACAAATTTCTAGAAGAATCGTAGGAATTGTTAAAAATTTGTAAATCCATTAAAATTTTATTTAGACAAATTCAATAGTAGGCCACTTATATTCTAATCGTCTCACTATATATTCCAATTTTTCATATAATTTATTGTTAGAAAATCGGAACGTTACTTTGAAAAATTATTATTTTCTATCTTTGAATGTATTTACACGATATAAAATGAAAATGAAACTGTAATATTTACGGTGAAAAACGATTGTCAAAGTTTTGGCATTTTATCAGAAAATCTGTCAAAAATATCCCTTGAAATTATGTTGAAAATGTGATTAAAAGTGAACGGTATCCGTGGATCATCGCATAACATATTCATAACGGTGGAATGGCGAACAAATCTATTCAGTAAGGATCTATGTGCAATCTTCGTGTCTAAAGAAGTTTAACCGTCATTTTCTACCTGTCTTATTAGGTTCGTGGAACGACTTTGTTGAAGAACCTCAAGAAATTGGAGTTCCCGAGGTACTTACGCCACGATAAACGTCCGTGCGCGATATACACGACGGAACGGGGTTATTTTCTACGCTATCGCATCTCATGTAAGGAGCACGGGACAATCAGTATTTATTACGGGATTCGTTGAGAGGAACCGCCTATTGACAACATTCTACGAATATGCTGAGCCCAAAAATGCAGAGGACTGGTGAGTTGTTAATCCTGTTATAGTATCGCAAATAAATACACAAACATATACCGACGAATATATTTTCTAATTGTATAGCTTTAGTTTTTGTTAGTATTATATCAGTTTCATATGATTTTCGACTAATTTTTTTTAAGATAATATGGTTTATATTTAGAAGACTAAATTTAAATTATACCTTTATGACAGATAGTACTAATGTTTAACATTTGTATATGTCTGCCTGTTTACTGATCCTTTTTAAGTATTTAATTTCATCTATACCACTTTGTCTTACAAGAAATTGTTCATGGGTTTAATGTTATTTTTATATCTATATTTTAATGCAATTATAAATTATCGAATTGTGTGAATTCTTTGAAAAAGATTCGTAATAGTAGAAATAATCTTATTTAATAGGAAATTTATGGAATTGGTTATATTATTCTGTTTTGATGAATTTTACGTAATTCTACGCTTTCATGTACGAAAATATGTTTTCTTGTGCTTTTAAACTCACGGATCAAGAATTATTTAATTGTTGCTTGTTACATAAAAGAAAATTCCTTGACAACGGAAGTGAAGTGGGGGAAGCTCTATATACTCGCGAGTAAAGCTTGAACAACACGGCCTTAGGATATATATTTATATATGCACATATTTATAGATCCTATGAACCGCGCGGTCAAATGAGCATCTGCATTATGAACCGTGGAAATTGAAATTGTGCTAATTAACATAAATATATCGGATAATAAAATATTCAAACGAGCAGGTGTTATATATTACTACGCAATCGATAGTTCGCATAGATAATTATTCATAATTTTAGAAATTATTTGATAAGTTGCAAAATCTCTTTTTGATTTATAAATTTTAAAGAAATAAATATAACTTTTGTCCTTAATACTTTATCTCAATGAAAAGTGTTCGATGAACAGTTGAAAGTTTCAGTAGTTTTTAATTTTACGAAAAGAATTTGTTGAAAATACATTCTTTCATTTAATATCTTATATTTTTGTCTATAATCACAAATTGTATTTGTTACTTTGTAGATGCATACATTCAATAAGACTTCTTATGATTTGTTTATTCCACATTTGTATGTATTCATGTTATAGAAAATTACATATTTGGCGTAGCAGAAGATGATAAAAGATTTTCTATACTTTCTTTGAGTCCACATGTAATACTCAATAGATATCGTACGCTGTACTCAGTGTTCTTGTTTGTGTTTCCATTTCTGCCCTATCCAACCGTACGAGAAAGCAGAACGTTCTCTAAACTGCAGTAAATCAAAGTTCAACTATTTCTCTCGTTAAAATACTAAAAAACTATTGAAAATACAATTTCTCTTTTCGTTAAATTGTTTTGAAATCTCATATGCAGTTAAGAAAGCATAATGCAATCCTTAAGAACGTTTAAATTCCTAAATTTCCCCTCGATTTAAATAATTTATTGTTTGTAAGTATTTCTTGTATCGATGACGTATTTTATCGATAAAGAATATTACAGACTTTATTTTTAACGAGAAAGGAAATAATATCAGGGAGCTTATAATTTAATTGAATATAATTTCACTTCAAATTTCGATTATTCTACATCAGAATTGTTTTTATTAAATTTTCTAAGTAAAAATGTGAAGTGTAAACAAGAATAATGAGAAGAATACATTATTTTTATATAGACCTTCCGTTACAAATAAACTGAACCATTCGGCCAAAAGTCCAATTAAATTTCTAAAAGTACCAATGTTGCTTTTAATCGAGCGCAACACCTGTCACGGTGAAATTTCGCAGCTACATTTTAAAAGTACATTCCCAGGATGTTAAGCTTTATGAAAATGTAAAAGGCAAAAAATCGATTTCTTTAAAGGCGTCATCATGGCTCTGAACCTTTAAGGGGATGTTCTCGTTTAGAAGGATCCAAAGTCATTTTTTTCACACAGCCTGTTCAAAATACCTGAGACAGAAAGCGTGCAAGCGTGAAGCTCCCTGGCATGTTATTCCAGAGAGTCTATTGATCGCTGAATTTTTATGTTCCCATAGTAATCAGTGTCGTGGCAGTTCACCTAAAATTTACATAACAATGCAAACTTTAATGACGCAAAATTTCCAAGTTCAACGTTAAATTTCACGATAATATAATCATTCTAACTTCATGTGAATTCCGGAATAGCGTCGAGTAAAATCAACGATCGAATTTGTTTAAAAAAATAAATGTTAATCAAACAAACACCGAACTCGCATTGTTGATTTCGCTGTGGCACGTGTAATTCCTTTTTCACCGAGATTCCTGTAAACACAGCGGGATTGCTAACGAACTGATATAATTGAATTTAATTAAGCGAGATGAGAATAGAGGAACTTTCAGTTCGGAATGCCTGACAACTGTGCAGTCGCGTGACTAATGCGTCGAATGTATTCCGCTTCGGGACAATGATGCGCGGCTAGTTAGCACGACACGTCTCGGGAACATTGATACCGAACGTTTTGATTCGGTTTGCGGGATCGGCTATGTCACGACTAAACACCAGGCGCGTTCATTGTGTTTGTTTCAGTGAGAGTGAACGACTCGCAGCTCGTCATGCTGTCCGAGAAAGCGCACGACGATCACTCGATGCGGGGATATTTGCATAAGCGGACCGCGGACTCTGCCAGGTGGCAATTACGTTGGTTCGTTTTATATCAGGTGAGCCAGCGATCTTCCGCCAGTTTTTAACCTCTTGCACTGAAGAAACCCATATACGTCGAGATGTTTTTGTTGGAAAATTGCCAATCACGTCTTATACCGTCAGTTGTTCGGAACCTGGCACTCGTGACGTTAAAGGGGCGGATACAGTCGCTCCGAGAAATCCAATTGCGAGTCCGGAAACGACTCTCTCCACTCTTTGTCGCGCGATCCGATTAGTGTGCCTGAGCGTTTTAGCCTATCATATACCAGAATAGAACATTTGTGTGAGGAAGGCGTGTGCTTTCGGATCTGACCACTCAGACGAAAGTGCCAGGTCCGGTGCAACGAGCGGTATACATCGATAGTCTCGCTGTAGTACAGCGAGATTGTTTTGAAATGTATCACTGTGTACAACACGATTAACCCTAATCGGACCACGATGTGAGTTTGAGTCACATTTGAACTTTTTACTTAAATCTTTTGATCATTTCGTATTGAATTTCCAAATGTTTTTTGGGCTTTTAAAATTTGGGCCCTATAAACAAGAACAATAACATTTTAATCGTTCCTTTTATTCTGATAAGTGACTGAAAGTCACATTGTGGTATGGTAAAAAAATTAAAATAAATGGTAGGAAGACGAATAAATAAATTTCATTGGATTCTACGAAGTGACAGATTAGCAGTTTTAGGAAGTATACTGGAGAAGCGCTGTCGCGTTGCTTCGCACTGAAACGGTTAAATGAATTTTAATCGTCACCGATTTCCTTTGAGGAACACGCGTTTTAAACGGTTTTTTAATTAGCGGTTCTACGCTACGTCGAATATTCGTTCGGAATGAACATTCGACCATCGTTTTAGCCGCCTGTAATTAAATTTGTTCATTTTCTGTATGAAGAGATTCAAACGAAAGTGATGTGGTGGATATAAAAAATATTCGTTTACTTTTCATTAACGCAACGCAATTAGTATTGCCATTATAAAGAATCTAATATTTTAATTTCAAAGAATTTTATTTCATATTGCAACAAAGGTTTACGCTGTTAGTTTGATTTTTCTGTAGATAGCAAACATCGTTTAATCAGTTAGCCGTGATTATTGAGTATCCTCGTTCTGTAGAAATGACAATATTTAAAATAGTTGTTACATAAATCGCAATTTTAACGAATACCAAACTATATTCGTAAATTTCAAGATGTTCAAAGTATTCATAGGACAAGACGAAATGAAACGAGCAAATAAAAAAATATATAGAAAACGGTATACAATTCGAATTTAGGTGAATACTTTTCACAAAGGTCGCCACAGGTAATAGGTTAATCGGTTAATTGTGAAAATCGCTTATGGTTTTCATGAAATCGGTTCACCCGGGAAACGAGGATTGCTAAGGGCAGCGGTGTTTCAAGATTAAAGTTTCCCTTTTGTTCCACCTGTGACGTTCCATCTCAACTTGATACCTTCTGTTTTGAACGTACTGAACTGCCGGTGTGTAACAATAAGTTACTGAACCGTGAAGCTCCTTTTACATTGCCGTTTCTATGGACAGCAGGAAACTTCGAGTGCTTTCTAGGTCAGCATACGACACGACACTATCAGCTTCTTTATTTCTGCGATTAGAAGCTTCATTGCATAGTGAATGTTCTTTTTACATATTCTAAATCATTTAGATAACCGTTGAATTGATAATATAGCTAACGAGCATTTCTATTGAGTAAAAACTGACGTATTGATTAAACTCTTGTGTGTTGATTAGTAGAATTCTCGTCACATTTTTAACATTCGTTTAACAATCGAATTTTCGATTAAATTAGAATCAAATTTATGTTATGATAAAATACAATTCAACTTTATTGATTCATATTATTCATTACTATTGTCATTAAAAAGCTGAAGGGAGGGGGGGCTCATGAAGTCTCAGAAAATATAGAAGTGAGGCAAAATCGAATAACGCAGCATGCGGCTTTCATCGAGCCATGCTTCATCTATGAGAGCGAATTTTCGCTAAAGTCATTGCTTACGGCATTATTGAGGTGGTTATAGTTACATGCCTCATCCTGTGTTCGGTAAACATGTGGCGGTATATGGCTGCGTTAGACAACTTTTGCATGTTTGTTAACGCCACGCAACCTATATTATTCAAACACCAATTACACGGGTATTGTATTATCCAAAGGCTTCGTTATTTCAGTGAGTAGTTATTGAAATTATTTAACAGTTCTAGAATTACTGATTTTAACATGTCCCATCTAGGAAAATCGTGATTGTTCAGTGAAGTCCTTCACATTTTTTTACTGTTATTTTGATCTTCTATTGAAAATTTTCCTGTTAACATGAAAATGAGGGTAAAAAAGATACTTCAATAAAGGTTAATGATAGTCTCACTCACATTTTTAATACATGAATTTCATACGACCTTTATATCATTATGTTTATTAATCCATATATATATATTTAAAAATAGCAATAAAAATTGTGCTACAATCAAAGACACGATAATGATTTTCCAATAAAAAGTAAACTTATTCGTTGAATCGGAAACGGTACTCGGCTTTTAAAAGATACTGGTGAGTTTGTGTTTTCCTTAACACAGGCGAAAGTTCCTTGGAAATGCGTTCTAGATACAAGATAAAATTGTCGAAGCTTCAGACAACTTTGAATTTTTTCGCAAGTCGTCCGCGAAAGTAGTAGACGAAAGTTTTTTTGTTACCAGAATCGTGTAACCGTTTTTGCTTGACATTTCTCGACTCTCTATCTGAGTTCCTGTCGGTTCAAACTTTCACGATAATCCTTTGTTACGGGGATAAATTTCTTTCGAAACATTCATTATCCTCCATTTATTTAGCATCCTTATCGCGATCGGCGCTCTTAAGTTTTATATCTCTCTCAAATAAATTAAGGTGCCATTTATTGTCACTGTGTTCAAGATGTTGTTTATCCTTTAGACTTCAACAGTGCTCGAATGCCTTCTTATAATGAAACTTTCAGCTTTATTGTATTTAATCCTAATATATACTTAATTTTCCATTTTATGCAGTGAATAACGCGTAATCTTAATATTCGTTTAATTAAATATTCAATTAATTACAAGACGATTTTAATTCCCGAAGTTTTATTTAGTGTGGAATATTTCAGTTTGTAATATTAATTATATTACGAGTAGAGTATTTTCCTAGAAATAAATAATTTTCATACAAGGTTTTACTTTTCTTTCCCAATATTCCTGAATAATAAACCTTTAAATTGAGTGATCAGATCATGTTTTATTCCTTATACACGTATTCACAATGTGGTCAGAGTAAAGAGATAAAAATCAAATCTGTCAAGCTAAGAAGCAAATGTTAATTTCACTTTTTTCTTCGAACAATTGATCATTACTCTGGTATTTGTTTCAGAATTTGCTCTTCTACTACGAGAACGAACACTGTTCCAGGCCCAATGGCGTTGTTTTGTTAGAAGGTTGCTACTGTGATCGCCTCATCACCGCCAATGGCAAACATCCAGATAAACAGGTAGATGTACACAACTTTTAGTTTTTGTGTTGTGTCGGGCTTGTGTGCGAGAGATACACTATGCCCAGTAACGATGCTGTAAATGTTTCTTAACGATAAGGAAAGGAAAATTGAGTTCCTTGTCTGAGAGACAATCAAAGGTTTGTCAGAGAGCTACTTATGGTCATTAATTAAATTCATAATATATAATTAATTATGACTGAATAAGTGGAAGGAATGATATAGCAGAATCTGATGTAGAATTTCAAAAAAATAAAGAAACTAAATAATGTGTTGAAAAATTAAAATGTCTTCACTAGTTCTCAAAATATTCAATTAAATATCTATACTTTTCACTTCAAACTTCGAGAGTTATTATAACAGAAAAGTGGGAAATATTTTTGTAAAAAATAACTTGCTTTATAAGAAAATAATTAATATTAAAATGTTAATGAATAATATAGTAGTTCAAATGATATTTATGGTATAATATATCAGAACTTTGTTTATGAACATCGCATGCGTTCGTATAACTAGATCCACCGTTGTCTCTCAATTCATATAATAACAGATCAGGTCTGAGTTTAAGTACTTGAACTCACTACGAGCCTGTTCAAATAAATGAAGTACAGCTAAATAGAATTCTACTATACTGTAGGGTCCTCGATGTCGATTATAACAAGCTGAAAGTGTACAGAACAGTGGGAAATGTCCTCTCGCGATGTTCGGATTTCGTTATTGACCAAAATATCGAAATGTGACAAAGCGAGATATGATAAAGAAAACATCGATGCTCATATTCATTCTCTATCGTTATATCTCGCATTGCCGCATTTTGTATCGTTTACGTTCTTCGTTTCGCCATTCGACCGATAAAAAAAATGAGTTGTAAGCATGAAAGAAATAACTGAATAAGTATTAAGTAAAAGTAAAAGCAAATGCTATGTAGATTTCTCATGTAGAATTTTTAGATAAATCTCACTCACATTGTCAAATATCTATATCTTCAATTGCTTTTAGTAGTATATTAAACCTTCCACACCAGACCAATTTAACTATTCTTCTTATACCTATCTATTTTCATAAATATATTTTCCTTTTATTTCCTTTCATTACATCTGAATACTAAGCGTTATACATACAAACTTTAAGTGTTTACCGGAAAATTCAATAACTCAATGAGTTATTATTCAATAACTTCGCTCTATATCCGCGGTTTCCAACCTGGGAGGCGCCAAAATTTTGAATAAAAAATTAATGTTCATACCATAATATTTAAAAATAAATAAACTTCATATCGTGACGTAACAGTACAATTTCAGTGAAGTAATCTTTATTTCGTAATAAAATTATTATTTAACACTCTGTGAGCCCATGTAACTTTGAAGTCACATATCAGTATATTGGCATCTTGTTGATTTATTTTATTTTGCACTCAAAGTGGTGAATAGAATGAAGTAATCGAAAGAAGTAATGAAATTAATAAAAGTAATTAACTGCAACTTTTATACGTTCAGGCGTGAAAGTTTAACGTCATTGTAACTTGAAATTGACGAAATATATTCGTTTGATGAAATTATGGAAACTATTGAATATATTGTTAATTCGTATTCATATGTAGATATTTATTAATTTTGTACTGCATAGACTTTGTTATACTCGCGGACAAAAATTCGGCCCATAGAGGGTTAAAATGTGTCTATATTATTATATCTATCAAAAGATAGGGAGAAGCGGAAAAAAGAATTTTTTTAGGGAGGTGTAGTAGCATAAAGGTTGGGAACCGCTGCTCTATAAACTAATACAGTACTCACAATATCCCTAGTAAAAGCTACATCCTTCCACGCACACGACGCAAAGTGTCAAAACCGAACATCACGAATGGACGTTTCTCCCACCTTTAGCTAGTTGTTACTTGGTACAAACGCAAGAGGCGAACTACTTTCAAAACGAACACGAATCATAATTCTCATGAAACGGCGGAAACCGTGCCAGAAATAATTGCGTTCGCCTTCGGTAGATTACAGAGGGTGACTATCGTTATCGGCGAAATTGCTCGTCCCGCGTACTCGTAGGTATCTGCCGTGTGTACCTATACACATGCACACGTCGCAGTCGGGTCAAGTGTTGTCATGGGAAACGTGTCGCATGAAAGTCGGCTAACGTTACATGAAAAACTCGCGGACACGAGCCCCGGAGCGTAGAATACACCGTCCGCGTCCCTTTGTTTCCGTGTTAATACAACAAGTTCTCGATGCGCGCGGATTACACACAGAGACTGAGGTGCTGGGACGACTCGTTCTGACGGAGTCAGCGCCGACAAAATAGGTTCGTGAATTATTCGCGGTAAACTACAGACATCACGTACAGAAGTTGAACCTCTTGCGCTGAAAGACCTGCCATGATGAAACGTTCTTCCAAAATTGCTAATGACGTTGCTACGTCGTAACAACATAGCTATGCACATTTTCGGTGTACACGTTTCAAACAGATAGAAACGATCTTTAGGTACAGGTATAAGGCAAGAGGAGATTTCTTAATCCTTTGTACTCTAGAAGTTTTTTACTGGAAATATTCAATATTCTCTAATGCAGATGACATTTTCTGAAATTGACTTGACGAGAAATCGCGCAAAATGACTACGAAACTACGTTTAACTTTTACGAAAAAACCGATGGTATAAATTATCGCGAACACTCTGTATATATGGGCAATGATGTTAAAATTAAAACTATGCTATAGGTTAATAAATAAACTTAGTATACACGTCTGCGCGAAATAGGCGAGATCAAAATTATTCGCACAAGATTTTGCCGAATCTTTGTGTTAATTGCAGGAGGTTAATAGCTGGAGGAATTGTGTCTTTACAGAGGGAAACGCTTCAAAGGATGTAGTAAGATGTTTGAATCTTGTCACGTCATTGGATTAACATCGCGATACGTGACGGGTCTGCAAATTGCCGGCGGGATCTAATTCCCCTTCGCGCGATGGCAAATGGCACTGCGAGAAAGAGACGTTATATTAGGTCGGTGCCGTTCCTCTTGTAAAAATATTAATTATGAAGGTCAATTCATTCTTTCCAATTTGTTAGCGTAATTTGATTACAGTAGTTTTCAGTGCTTGCGAAATTTTTGATCATTTACATTTGGACGAAGTTTCGGAAGAAATATTTTTAAATTGTTTTTTAAGATATTCTTTATATTTTTATATCTTCCTTAATATATTTCTCTAAAATACGTATGTTAGGATATATTCTGAGTTTTCATATGTTTTTTTCGTATCACGTGCAACCCGTGGAATTTTATACTTTCAGATTTCTCAGAGATGTACAGGGAATCGCGGTTTAATATTTATTTTCGTGTTTCTTGGTGCTCGAAATGGAAATAGTTCGTGAATATTAATCCTGACATCCACCGTTTCTGTAAAAATTTATTGGGGTACAAATTTTGACGGTTTCGTTCACGTCACAGACAGTTTTATAACAGTCTTTCAAATGAAAACAATATTTCGCGTTTATTAGTTAAATTTGTTAAATTATAGATTTCGCTTTGTACCAGTGATGTCTGCACTGACCTTTTTGAATTAAAAAATTCCTTTTTTAATTTTTTTTATATAATAAAAATGGCAGGAACGTCAACGTTTAATAATAAAATACTAAAAGTCACAGCAGATGTTTCATATGAAAAATGATTGAATACGAAAGAAGAAATAAAAATGATTTTTTTTAAATTATACATGTAAATGATATTTTATATTAAACTCAGAAATGTAACTCATAATAATTGGGCAAAGTAACAGATCAAAAATATCCCTCAGCTTCCAATTTCTTTTGAGCAGCTATGTGGCAGGATAATCGGATACTCTTCTATAATATTCGTAACACGATACATTACACTGGGGACGTTTTAATTGACAAAGTATAGAGAATTATGCTCCTCGTCAAATATGTATTCAAGTCGTGGTGTTTGAGGAAGAAATTCCGTTGAATTACCAAACTTTTCTGCTGCTCTTTATTCCGCGTTGATTTCGTTTCAACCGCATGCGTATCAGGTTCGAAACATTCCGAGATGTTTCACTGGATAAAAGTGAATGAAATTATGGCTCTTTATACCGCATTTCCTTCGCAATAGCCTCATTGCGGAGTAATACACTTGCACCAACAATTTTCTGAAATTAGCGAGTCTTAGGTCTCGACGAACACGTTAAAACATTTTCACTTTTGACATTCATCGGGCTAAGTATGATAAACCTTGCTCTTCCATCCCCGTTTTCATTAAATAAATTGCTTCTAGTTTGTAGGACTTTCGATGAATATCAACTACGTCAATCAACGGGCTAATCGTTCAAAGTGTTTCCTATATTTCACGCCGGAATTCGCGTCGATATCATTTAACCCGAGTATATTTCAATACATCGTTTTACGCGATGTTTTTCAAACAGTTTGATAAGTATTCATATTTTATTTGCATATAATATGCCCGTGGCATTGTAAATAAATGTAATACGAATCAGTAGAAATATGCTTAACGAGTGGTCCGATTTTACTCATGCAGGTAGGTTGCATTTGTGGTATTGCAAATAAATGTAACGTAAAAGAATCAAATGTGTAGTAATGGAAATAAAATAGGATATCGAGTCTATATCTCTGTAGAAATGGGATTGTGAAAGGTTGACAGTGAAACACACTCTGCATCTGCAAGAAGCGTCACGTTGAAGATATTAGATTGACTGAAAAGCCTTGACTTACTTTTCAATGCAGCATTTATACTATAGTGCTCTAATGAATATTACCAATAAGCAAACTAAAATACAACAGAAAGCTTTCGAATAAAATGCGCCATAGTTTAATGAAATCTAATTTAACGTAGCACAATTCTTCTTTAACCCTTTACAGTCGAGAAGTGACTCTCAATTTCCATTTGATTCAACGCAGTGTAATTATAAAACTGCAAAAATTTGGTAAAACTGATAATATATGTATATTTTAAGATTGACTCTCATGAATTGAAAAGGCGTAAAAA